TGCCCTTCCCTCTGGCAACTCCCCCCCACTTCACCCCTATGTTAATAAAGCAAATCTCATTTGTTAGCCCGAGTACATCGTGTTGGGAGGGGAAAGAGACTCCCAACCTCCCATGGCTCTGTTTGAGAACCTGAATCCCAAGGAATCAATCATGGGATGGGAGGCCACTTCCCCCGTCATCCCTTCACGCCAAGACTGAAGTCACTGTACTTGTCCCCCGCCCTTCGGCGTCAGGTGCTGGCCCCAGCATCCTGGGAGGAGACGGAGGCGGAAGAGAGGGAACGGCTGCGAGGAAGGCTCCCGCCCAGCACTCGCCACTGGAAGATGCTGGTGTCCTTGCCACCCATGGAGATGAGGTAGCCATCATTGTGTGTGAAGCGCACGTTGGTGACGTGGCTCCCGTGCCCCCCGTATTCATGGCTTGGTGCCTGGGAGAGACAGAGGGAAGAGACGTTTTCGAAGGGTGCCACAGCATGGTAACCCATAAGCAAGCCTAGATAGTTCTGACACAGGAACGCCTCGCAAGGGGGAGCTGAGTTGCACAGATGCAGGATGACAACGGAAGAGCTAAAATGGAGGCCAGTAGCCCCTTGGAGACCAACAAGGTTTCCAGGGTAACAGTGTTGGACAAAGGGAGCTCTGACTCTCGAAAGCTGAATGTTGGTCTCTAAAGGCGCTACTAGACTTGAATCTAGTTCTTCTACTGTGGGCTAACAGGGCTACTCTCTGAAACTATTTTCAAGGGAAACAATAGTGGCAATAGTAGCACGTATCAAAGGATTGGTTTTGGGAGGGCCGGATTCTGCAAGACGCAGCTTGCAGGGTAGACAAGACCCACCGATGTCGTATTTTTGTGTAGGTTACCCAAGATGCTCGACGTCCTTTCTCTGCAAACCGTAATCCCAGGTGTGCCATTTAGAACAAGCATGCTGGAAACACAGGTCTCCTTCCCCACTACCCTCACTATCTGGCCTTCCTAGCTATTAGAAACATGTTTATTACTTGGCTACGGAGGACAATTTGAAAACGTAACACAGCGCCCGCCGGAAGGAGTGGCGAGAAGATAGGGTATCTATCCCTGTTGCCCCAGGTCACGGCTGAGTTAAATCTTGCTTTTGACCATCACTCCGTCACACCCCATTTTGCCCCACTCCTTTCATACCTTGGGCTTAGCACAGGGATACTGGAAGAGATGGACTTTGCAAAAATCATCTGCTACGGCCACTACCCGCTCGTTGTGGGATCGGCAAAGTGAGTTGATGTCGGTGCCATCTGAGCCGACAGGCCACACACCTGCAGGCAATTGGAGAGACAGATAGACAGACAGGAATTATTCAGTGGATACAGTGGCTTAGAAGAATCTCCCTTGGTGGCTCATTGGCTGACGCTAACTGTACTGGTATTGCAGGCAGACCAGCTTCCCACCAGTACCGAGGCCGTTCTCTGATCCTGCCCAGGAAACTCACCAAAAACATGGAAGCCAAGCACGCAGGTGTAGGAGGCCCACTCACGGTCCTTATTCTCAAAGCGATTCCTCAGCAGTTTGCAACCCCCGGCCACGTCCCCTGGCAAAAGAGAACGCAGGAGCAAATGTGAATGTCAGCTGCAGGCCGCTCCGAAAGAGAAACCAGACTGCCGCGCAAGAGTGACGATCAGTTTTTAGAAACTGGGACTAACCAAATCCACTGCTCTTTCTCTGCCATTGCACAGACACTCCCTAGGTAGAAAGTGCTGTCAAGTTCCAGCCGACTTACGGTGACCCTGTTGGGTTTTCAAGGCAAGAGACGGACAGAGGTGGTTTGCGTAGCGACCCTGGACGCTGCATAGCGACCCTGGACTTCCTTGGAGGTCTCCCATCCAAGTACTAACCAGGGCCGACCCTGCTTAGCTTCCGAGATCTGACGAGATCAGGCTAGCCTGGGCCATTCTAGGTTTACTCACCTTTTAAGCAACATGTTGCTTATTGTGAACATAAAGCAGCTGCTCCATCTGCTGGTGCTTAAAGGAAACAGCCGTACCAAGTGCTTCAAAGCAGTGACTGCTTGTTTGGAGGATGAGCACTCAGTAGTTGTTGTCCTGGAGGGTTTTTTTCTGGGGTTGGGGTGCTTTGGACAACAGACCGGCAGCTGGGTCATCCTCCCCCTACATGGCTCCATGGCAGAGAATATGCTTTGTAGTTTCATCTCCGGTTGCCTATCTCAGATAACAGAAACTCATGTTGGTCTCTTAAGGTGCTACTGGACTGGAATCTAACTGATTTACTGCAGACCAGACTGTCTGCCCTCTGAAACTAGGACTGTGAAAGGCTTTCTGCCTGAGACCCTGGAGAGCCACTGCCAGTCAAGATGTAAATACTGTCCTAGATGGGCCAAATGGCTGACCAGGTAGCTTCAGATGTTCATAATATCCCCACTACTCACAATACAGGATTTCGTAGTCCCCAGAATTGGACATAATGAATTTTCCATCCTTGGACCAGTCCAGATGTGTGATGAAACTGGAGTGTCCCTGCGGAGGGAAAGAGAAAAAAATACAGGGTAGAAGGCATCTAATACGCGTAAACAGTTTTACTGGATCAGTTACAGGGCAGATAATTACAACCTTATTGGATATGAAGCCTTATTTCTAAGGTGGCTGTGGATTTTATCACAATTGTTATTTTGCGTGAGGTCTCTTGGTGTGCCATGAGAGAAGTGCTAATATTTGATTAATTCAAGACTTGTAGGAACCTAAACCACTCAACCACAAGGGAGGCTGCCTGTTGTGCCTCTGCATGGTTTACTGTTCTGGCCTCATCTCTTTCCAGTCCGCCTTGCAGGCTGGGGGTAGGTGTGGAATAATTTAGCTGTGTTTATGTAGCAGATGTAATTGGATCATTCAGTCCCTACAGATGCAGAGATGCAGCAGAATTAATCGCAGATTAGCTTTGCCTTTGCCTTTCTGCATAAGTCAGTGCTCTGGATTCATCTCTCCATTTAGGAAGCACAAACAGAACAGCGACTCATGAAGAAATGTGGGTGGGGGCACTCTTCTAGTGGGTAGTTCTGTTTTTTTTCCCTATCAAGTCACAACCAACTTATAGAGCTACAGGGCTTTCTGGATGACACTTCCGTTTTAGATCAGGATGACGCTTCCGCCTGGGGACATGGGATGGAGACAGCGCTGGTTGTCCTTACTGACGATCTCCGGAGACATCTGGATCGGGGCGGTTCGGCGGTACTGATGTTAGACCTGTCGGCTGTGTTTGACATGGTCAACCATCAATTGCTGACCCACCGCCTCGCCGACATGGGGATACAGGGGCTAGCCTTGCAATGGCTTGCTTCCTTTCCCCAGGGTCAGGGACAAAGGGTGGTGCTAGGGGAACAGCAGTCCAGGAGACACCCACTTGAGTGCAGTGTGCCTCAGGGGGCGGTGCTTTCCCCGATGTTATTTAACATCTACATACGCCTCCTTGCCCAGAGATTTGGGCTGGGGTGTCACCAGTACGTTGATGACACCCAGCTCTATCTGTTGTTGGGTGGCCGGTCTGACTCCGGCCTGGATTATCTGGACTGGGCGTTGCAGGCTGTGGCTGGTTGGCTTAGACTGAGCCGGCTGAAGCTAAATCCAGTGAAGATGGAGGTCCTGTGCCTGAGCCGGGGTGGTTCGGGGATGGGCCTTCGACGGGGCGCCACTGGTGCCAGCGTCGGAGGTTAGGAGTTTGGGAGTGCTCCTAGATCCCTCCTTAACAATGGAGGCCCAGGTGGCAGCCACTGCTAAGTCAGCCTTTTATCATCTTTGGCTGATTCGGCAGTTGATTCCCTTCCTCGACCGCGACGACCTGGCTACAGTGACCCATGCGACGGTCACCTCGAGATTAGACTACTGTAATGCTCTCTACATGGG